ACAAATTATAGATTTTTAAAATCTATATCTTAAAATTCTAAACCCTAAAAAATGTTTTGACCCCTAAAACCTCATAAACCCTCAAAACTAAACACTAATAGAACATAGTTAACCCAAACATAAATAATATAATGAATAAATAATTTTGAAAAGTGGCATTTTTGTAAAGATTTTTAAAATATGGCATTTTTGAAAAGTGACACATCTAAAGTGGAATTTCTCAAAATATTATGATATTATAACCAACATACAAAACTAATAAAAACTGATTTATTAGATTAAAAATACAGAGCAAAAACTTGTATTTTTAAAATAAATGATGCATTTTATTGTAAATCTTTTGTAAAATAACATGGGAAAACGGCCTTTTTGGACCAAAACTATTGCCATCGGGTCTTTTTGGATCTGATCTTTTAACATTGGCCAATTTAAACCTGGACCTAAAATTAATTCAAATTCGATACTCACATACGATTTTACTATTGATTTGGACCTTGACCAAGTTACCGTTAGTCAACTTTAACGGAACAGTGACATGGATGACACGTAGACAAAAGGAACGGCCTTTTTGGACTAGAACTATTGCCATCGGGCCTTTTTGGACCTGATTTTTTAACATTGACCAATTTAAACCCGAACCTCAAATTAATTTAAATTATTTTTAAAAAATTAAATAAATTCACCTGATAATTTTAAATAAAAATCTAGAATCAGAATTAAAAATGATCTAGCGGTCTCGTTTGCGTGGATTATTGGATTGCTAGGTTGTTAGTGATTCGATATAGAACGGTCTAGGATGTTGAATGATTGGTTATTGGTTTATGAAGTATTATTTAATGGTTTATTTGCATAATTGATTTCCGCTGAATGTTTGCTGTATTGAGAATTTTAGCATGTTGAGGGTTAGCATTTATGGGGATGCTAATTCGGTGCTAATTTATATATAAAAAAAAAATGGGTCAGGCTGTTTCATTAATAATTATTTTATGACAAACAAAAATATGATTATATTTTTTTTATAATTCTTGCTATTTTAAAAAAAAAATACACATGATAAATTAATAATTATTTTGTGACAAACCAAAAACATATTGAAAGTTCTAACAAGAAACCACTGAGTGAGAAGACTAGCACTTATTCATTTATTTTGATACCGTTTGATTTTCAGTTAAATTCTGTAACATATTTTTAAACGATTATTTTTTACTATTCGCATTTGAATTACATTGAGTTTTTACTATTTTGCTACTCATATAACTATTTGTTTCAAATTTTTATGAATTGGTTATGATAATTTTTATTTGAATTAGTGTTACACTTTTAATTTTTTATAACCCATGGAAACGAAATAAAACAAAC